GATTGAATTGCATTTTAGTGCAGACCATCAGCACTTGGAAGCCAACTGACAAATTTTGAAGTTTGAAACTGAGGACAAGTACTCGCAAAAATAACCAGAGAGAGTGCAAATACTTGAATTTGTGTGGTGAGTAAGAAAACAGAAAGGAGCTTCAATATGAAAAGAAAGAAGAAACTTACGTGATTGAGAGCTCAGAAAAGCATCGGCTTGACCGAATGCAAGCAGATGAATATGAGGCACGGAACCCACCTGCAAACTCACACAACCAAGTAAAAAGAAGTCTCAATAGTAAAAGAATGTTAGGTGCTGATATATTTGCAAATGCATCCACCAAACAAACTAGAAGGGCATAGCAACCAAGTCTCAGGCTCTTCTGTAACACGAGTATGAGGAACAAGTTTAAAATGGTCTCGCCATCACAACACGAGGAACAGGTAATTTCTTTTCATCTTCTGGTTTATTTACTACTAACTCGTCGGTTTCACACCCAAAGGCCAAAACCCACATATTCAGATATCTGAATAACAAGTATAAAAGATTCGGAAAGAACTTCTGTTCAATTTACCAGCCAAAATCTTGAAGTTTTCCCTTCTGTCAGCAAGCTCTCCAGTTGCAATGGTGTTAACTTGTTTGAAGTACCTTGAAGAATAAATTCAACAGAAACAGAATCTATCAGTTGATCAGATTCTAAAGCAATGTATTCTTACAATTCTTGTAGCACTCGCATTCTCAAATATCAACCATAAAAAGCTAGAAGAATCATTACTCATACATAAAAGCAATCGAAACAAAAACAAGCAATTCTACCTGATTCTTCAAATGGTGGTTGCTGGGTAAGCATATGCAACACTGTATCACAGAGCAATAATATAAACATGAATGTTATTTTAGCACGATAAATTTGTTTTTAATGTGATTGACATCCACAAAATATGCAATGTATTACCTGGACTATTAGCATAATGTAATGAAAAGATAATTAGTTTCCCAAGATTAAATGAATATCTGGATATAATAAAAGTAAAGAAAATATCTGATAAATATCTTTTGTTTTTTTTTTAAAAAAAGGTTCCAAATTAAGACCGACTAGTGTTTCAAAAAAAAGAAGAGAAACATTATCCAAAGAAAATCACCACCCAGCAATCCTCCCGTGCCTAAACCTGTGGATCAGTTAAAGAGCATATTACAAGATAAAATCACCCACCTAAAAACACAAGAATATACCAGACAGCTAAGCAGCGATCCATTGTATAGGCAACGGCAAAAAGGCAAATCTGAAAAATGTTCATTAAGACAGGGAAATGCTAACAAGAGCAAATAAACACAGAAAGGAAATTATCGTCTGAATCACAGGTCATGTGCATGGAGAAAGGAATTTAACACGTGAAATATTTCATTGATTGCATGTCCTAGGAAGGCGTTCAATTACAAGAAGTTAAGAACAAATCAGTAACAATAAAGAAAACCAACACAGGATGTTTTAATAGGCGTTTAATGAGACCGAAGCAATTAATACTTTTTGAGGAGAAAAAAATATAAATGCGTCAAACTGATCACCTTGGCAAAAAGTGCATCAGGAATGAAAGCCTCCCATGGTTCTTCTTTCACTCCCTGACAGAGAAATGCTAGAATTAAGAAACGTCCATACAAATATGCAAAGAGGGAAGTGAGTAATGGTTTACCGCCGTGGATGTCAACAAAATGAATAGCCTCTTCATGTACATAGGGAATCAAATTGCAAACAAAAATCAGCAACAAAACCGGAATTAATTTTTAAGTTCAAGTACCAAGAATGATGGTACATTCTATCATGAAAGCAATGCCAGAAAAAATACAGCCGATAGAGGTTTGAAGATTCGTGGTTCCAAATGCTTTTTTCCTAAAAATAGGCAGTAAAACTAGTTGTTGCTAGAGTGTATTAATCGAGATTTCGTCAATTAGGTACCCTTTATAAAGTGACACAGCAAAGTATGTCAGAGTCAGTGGAAGTTATCAAGTTGCTTACATACACCAGAGTCAGAGTAATACAGTGATCCTTCATAATGAATGTCTAATAATTTTTAGCTTTGGAACACTAACATAAGCAAATAATATGTGAACTATTCGGTGCAATTTTCTCCATATAGACTGCGAATGACTGATATCATGATCCTCAACTGATGATCTTTGGGTCTATCTAAGACGCATCAAGAGTATAATATATGTGATAGAGGGGTTTAAATTAAAGTGAGAAGACAACAGATTTGGTTAGCTTTCAATCAGAAGAGGATGAAACCAGTCGAATACGTGGGGCGAAGAAGCAGTACCTTGATGAAGGCCAAAAGGGCAAAGACTAACAGCGTCTGGATTTCCTGCAAAAGCAAGCGCATTAGAAAGGGAAAGCAAGGAACGGAAAGAAAATACGCAAGACAAGCACGGAGAGAAAGAGCGTTACGCAACGAAGTAGATGATGAGCGAGGTGAGGAGCAAGGGCATGAGCTGCGGAGCTACGAATTACGAAATACGAGAAGAAAGTCAAGAAATGGAACAAATAGTAGGGCTCTGAAACAAGGAGATTCAACCATTTCCCAGGATTAAGACTCTCCTTCCCCATTCCGAGCCAGAGAGCTGCTCGAACACCTGTAAAGCTGGACAAATGGCAAGCTACTTTCAACTGCAATGCTAATTCAGCTCCTTCCTCATTCGATCTCAGTATTCCTCTTCTACTTCGATCTCTACGTTCTGCTGTGTCGTACGTCCTTTTCTTTCTGTCCATCGTCTTGCAGGGATCGCATTCCGTGCTCATCAGCCTGATGAGCACGGAATGCGGACGCTCGTCTTGCAAGAATCTAATCAGTCAATACATAAATGTCCTCTTATAAAGGATAAATTCCACATTCTAAATAATGCCGATCAGCTAAAATGTCATCTTACAACCCCCTTTGGAGACCCCAAGATTATCGCATGCTCTTGAAATTAACATAAAAAAGAAAGATCAAGTGTACTTTTCTTTTCTTTTCGTTTTCGGGGGGAACTCAAATTTTCTCCTTCTATTTTAACATGATGATCGCTGGGTGACAAACCTGAGTTTCTTTGGGCTTCCACGACAAACCTGGGCTACTTGATAGCCGTAGTGGAAGAAAGAACCCAGCAAGAAGGCCCAAGAGGATACCCAAGGATATCTTGGCTTGCAGGTGATACAACAAAACCAAGGCCCATTCATTCAATTCAACACCAAGGACTTCTGCAGTAAATGACAGTAATTAACTTTAGCTATAGAATTGAACTTTATAAATTAAGATATATATGAACATCTGTATCTTCTGTAAATCAAATATTTGGACATTTATACTCTCAAATTTATCCTTGACGAGTTAAAAAATCATTTCATGTCTTGAAATTAACATAAAAAAGAAAGATCAAGTGTACTTTTCTTTCTTTTTTTTCGTTTTCGGGGGGAACTCAAATTTTCTCCTTCTATTTTAACATGATGATCGCTGGGTGACAACCTGAGTTTCTTTTGGGCTTCCACGACAAACCTGGGCTACTTGATAGCCGTAGTGGAAGAAAGAACCCAGCAAGAAGGCCCAAGAGGATACCCAAGGATATATTGGCTTGCAGGTGATACAACAAAACCAAGGCCCATTCATTCAATTCAACACCAAGGACTTCTGCAGTAAATGACAGTAATTAACTTTAGCTATAGAATTGAACTTTATAAATTAAGATATATGAACATCTGTATCTTCTGTAAATCAAATATTTGGACATTTATACTCTCAAATTTAGCCTTGACGAGTTAAAAAATCATTTCATGTTTATTTTATTTCTTAAATATAATATAAATTTATTCTACAATTTCTGAATGGCATGCTAAACCAGTTTTCTGACATTACATTTTTTATATTACATTTCTTATAATTCTTTGAACCAAACTAACACTTCACGTCTGATGTTGTGAGATGGGTTAACGGCCATGTGTTGTAGAAAGACAGGGATCATCCAAAAATAGGCGACAAAGAAGGTTGGGGGAGCCCGAATTCGAAGCTCGCTTTTAGCAATGTTGATTGCTACATTTTTATTTTATTTTCACATGCAATGCCAATTGAATCCTTCCATCAATATGGTATTTGTTGCCATATAAGCAAAAATGAAGAAGGGTTAAAGAAAATTTTAACTCTCTTTTTTTCCTTAAACTGACTTTTGATCTGGTTTATTATAAATGGAAAGAATAATTCATCGTTTTCTACTTACTCTCCTCTCATAATGTCATTCATTTTACTCCCACTCTCTTTATCCATTTCCAATAAACCAATTTCTGGAGATATATTAAAAACAAAACGCGATTCTGAATTTTTACCGGACAACTTGTAATCAACTGTTCAATTCTGAATTAGTGGACTACTATAGTATATATACTTCAGTTACAAGGGCCTCGATTTATTTTCGTCCAGAGGTTTAATGATTTTATGGTTAAAAAAAAAAAGTGATTTTGATGCCACCAGAGAGAATTAAAACTAACTCCATGCATGGACCATTGTTTATACCACCTGCAATGCCAAGGGAAAATGCAATGTAAGGATAATTAAAAGAGCAGCGGCAAAAGGCAAAACGGGAACCAAAGTGAACTTGTTCCACATTTTCCTCTGTTTCTTTTTAGGATTAAACTGAGGAAAAATGATCAGAGTTTTTTGGGGTAGCTTGTTATTTTACTGTGGGTAGCAGAGCAGATGGCGGGGAAATAAGAAAGTGTCCATGTTGGAATTAAAGCGAAAGGGAAGCTTTTGTTTTGATTTTAAAAAATTGAGGAGGCTGGAAAATGGATTTACATGGTGGAGAGGGAGAGAGAAAGAAAGATGGTCCAAAATAGGAGTCCCCTTGTCCCCTTCCAACGCAATAAAACCCCCCTTTCTCCATTTCTCTCTCCATTCAAAGCCACTACTTTGTCACACATTGTCCCCAACTTCCTCTTGCTTTCTCTCACTACTTCCTCACTACTCTCCTCTCCTCTCCTCTCCTCTCTCCCATGGAAGCTCCCGACTTCTTGCAGAATCCTCAGCTCTCCACCTCCGACAACAACATGGCCTCCGCCGACTCCTTTGTTGTCGACGACCTCCTTAACTTCTCCAACGTCGACGATGAAACTCTCCTCCCCGACGACGCTTCCCTCCCTTCCCTTCCCGGCAACTCAACCAATTCTTCCACCGTCACCGCCGTTGATGCCTCCCCGGCTAGCCAACCTAATGTTGTCTCCGATATTGACACCCGCAATTTCCACGACCCCCATTTTTCCGGCGATCTCTGCGTCCCGTGCCGGTATATATATGCTTCTCTCACACCTTTTCATAAACCAATTCTTCCACCGTCACCGCCGTTGATGCCTCCCCGGCAGCCAACCTAATGTTGTCTCCGATATTGACACCCGCAATTTCCACGACCCCCATTTTTCCGGCGATCTCTGCGTCCCGTGCCGGTATATATATGCTTCTCTCACACCTTTTCATAAACACAATGATGCGTATATGCAATTCACACCATATGTATAATCTACTGCAGTTCTTCTCTCACTTCGTCCATACACTTGATCATGATTTCCGGCTTGTTTCAATTCCTAATACATGTCCAAGGCTATACGTGTGTCGGTGTGTGCATATAATAAAACTAGGATTATTACATTAGAAGGTTGACCTTGATCTGTCGAGGTTTGTTTCGTTATTTTTGCTTAATTTTTTTTCTTCCTTCTTGCTGTGATTGCGTTTGCCACCAAACAAAAAATGAAACTTGGAATTGCTCACGCACATGGTGATGCCGATGACACAAAATGAAAAGGTTAGAAAAAGGAGATATGCGAACACAGTTATATATGAAACTAATACATGCTTTGTTGGTGGGTTTTGATTAATCTTGAGAGACACAGTATGATGATATGGCAGAGCTGGAATGGCTTTCGACGGTGGTGGATGAATCATTTTCAAGCGAGGACCTGCAGAAACTGCAGCTGATATCTGGTATAAAAGCCCGTAACGACGTCGAAACATCCGAAATCATTCAGGAATTCCAGGCCGAAACCAACCGGAGCGTCGTCAACAGCCCCATATTCAACACAGAAGTCTCGGTTCCGGCCAAAGCTCGCAGCAAGCGCTCACGTGGCTCTCCATGCAACTGGACCTCTCGCCTCTTCCTCCTTTCTCCGTCCCCATCTCCATCGCCATCACTATCCTCCACCTCATCTTCCTCAGATCCCGACGCCATCCTTTCCACCGCAAAGAAACCAGGGAAGGCCGCGCCAAGGAGGAAGGACAGCGGCGGCGAGGGCCGCAAGTGCCTGCATTGTGCCACAGATAAGACGCCGCAATGGCGGACCGGGCCCATGGGCCCCAAAACGCTTTGCAACGCGTGCGGGGTGAGGTACAAGTCAGGGCGGCTGGTGCCAGAATACCGGCCGGCGGCGAGCCCAACGTTCGTGCTGACCAAGCATTCAAACTCACACCGGAAGGTGATGGAACTCCGACGCCAGAAGGAAATGCAGCAGCAGCAGCAGCATCATCAGTTTCTGCAACATCCGAATATGATGTTTGAGTTTCATGTGTCCAATGGGGACGATTACTTGATTCATCAACACCTCGGACCTGACTTCAGGCAGCTCATTTAGTAGTTTGCTAGCTAGAGAGCTTATGAGAGAATTAATTAGCAAACATCTTCAATTTTTTTAGACCCTTTCGTTCCTAATTTTCATAGGGATTTTCATTTATTTTCCCCAACACCCGGCCTCTTTCCGTTTTCTTTTTCTGAGTTTCTCTAGTTTCATCTAATTAATGTTTAATGTTCCTCTTGGAGTCGTTATTTAGGCCAAAATTGGCATAACCCTCCATCCAAATTCAAAATTTTCTAATTCAGTTTATTTTTCACACGAATCATGAATGTTTCAAATTTGTTCTCTTTCTTCTCCTTTAATTTGCATGGCACCAGCGCGGCCGTTTGTTCAAGTGGCGATCTGTACAATATATAAGAACCTTATCCAAAACCTTGGCCAAAATCATCACACTTCATCTCTTAGGTTACAATATACATGATTACTCATAATACATAAACAGCTTAACGTCCTGTATTTAATTGGCGTCATAATCTCTGATAATAAGACGTGCGATTTGTTATCTAATGATTAATGGTTAACTTGGACGGCAATTAAACGCCATTTTTTTTTAATTGTTGAACTCGCCCTTTTGTGCCTCCATATCTGTGGAGTTTCTTTTTCTCAGGCATAGATCCCAAAACGGAATAATCAAAATGTGGATGAGTTAGAGTAAGCATGTAGGGACTGGCTGGGTTAATTAGGGAAATAGGGTAACAGAGAATGTTGGTAGAAAAAGGAAAAGTGAATCTCCTTAAACACATTTTAAGCATCATGCATAATTGTCTCTTCACTTCTGTATCCCCGAGGCTGTGATATGCTATATATCCTTTTTCTAATCCTTCTCTTTCATTAATTTCTTCACTGTTTCGGAGTACATATACGTTAGTCCACGTTTACGATTACGAAAGAAATACTACTGATTAATTTACGAACTCTTCTGTTGCTTCTGGTTCACTGTTTCAGAGTGATCGAGTTTCTTTCTTTTTTTCCTTTTTGGGTGGGGGTTTATATTTATGTTTTCTCCGTTAAGTACTGAGAATTGATCTGAAAGCACGTGAAAGAATCATTGAAGCGTCCCGAATGAACTTAACGGAACATGTGAGGTTGCAGCGGAAAATTGAAAGCTTTCAGTTTCCCACCACCCCAGGCATGTGAGTCAATATTGAGATTTTTATTTTCTGGCATTAAATTAAATTTAAATAAGAAGAAGATGGAGATAAATTTCAAACAGAACGAATATATATTATAATATCTGTACTGTAATACAATATTGCAAGTATGGCCCGAGGCAGCAACGCAGATCCTTAGGACTATTAATTTAATAATATACACAGCAGGTGGCGTCTGTCTTCCCAAGTTATTTGTATTATCATGACAGAATTATACGTGAAGTCACTGAGTCGGACGCTTCTGTTCGATTTCTTTTAGCTGAAGATAACACGTCTCCCCATTAATTAAAGGATGCACGAGTATTATAAAAACTAAAGAGGATAGGTGATGGAATAAAGTGGAAATTAGAGCATTAAATAAAATAGCTAGAAGTAGGGAGAAACAGAGTAGGGGCAGGGCGGTAAGCCAAGATTGCGGTGGTCACATGAAAACTCTTACATGGTTTCATGATGCGGTGACTGGTAGTATCACAGAACGAGAGGGAAAAGGTTAGTGATCGCTGACGTTGACTTCTGATGCGTTATAACACGAAGGTCAAACATAGGATAATTTACCTGCGCCATTTTTCTTAACTGCGAGCACATAACGCACCCCTCAAACCTAAAGCTTCAATGCAAATCAAAGCTGAAGAACTGCAACATGTGTTGTGGCATTACTTTTTACTTGGGGAACAAAAGAAATCAAACTATCTTTGGAATTTCAGATGGACGCGCCGCTTAACATCAACGTGGAAAGAAAATGTTGCCTAGCTGCCGCTGCTTCCATCTTTATTACAAAACGTGAAAACACTTCCAAGAAAAGAACAAACGCATCCTATAAAGAAACAACTTTTGAATCGTGAATTAGAGAATACAAGATGAGTTATGTCTAGAGTTACGCAAAATAATATGCTTATAAGTACTTGTATAATCATAATTAGGCTTAACTTGATTCACGAAGTTGCAATTGTTTTTTTCTTTCAGCCCCACGTTGGCGAAATGTCTGTATTTGCCTCTCACAGCCAGGGCTACAAGGAAACCTCCCTCCCGATGAAGCAGCCCGTTATTTAAAGCATACAAAGTTCCATTGAAACCTTTTCATGGTTTGGGGGGGGGGGGGGGGGAAGCGACTGCAATGCCAGGGCCGGGTTACTTTAGATCATACTTCACCTTTTTTATGAAAGCTCACGGTACTTACTGTCAAACAGAGCGCCAACACATGGCCCTCGGCATCTAATCCAGAGTCCCACATGCTGATGTATTGTGATGAGAGAGACACAAAGTCTGCCATCAAGGCTGTTCATGAACAAAAAATCGGAGACATGGTCACCACTCTCTTCCGGATCCACCTTCCCACGTGCACCACATATAACCCTAGAAAGATTTTCTATGCAAATGATATCTACTCCATACTTCGCACAGTGACTAAAATATTACCTTTGCCTAACCTACCAGCGCAAGCCGAAAACAAATACAACTCACTTATCCATGAGATGGAAACAAACAGAGGATATGTGCTGATTTTCCCGCTAGGGTATTCCCGAACAGGGTGCTTAAAACAATGGTCAAGTGCATGAACGCATTCTTTATTTGTTACTGATCAGCTGAAGTCAATCTCTTAAAAACAATTGAACCTGGATTGAATAAGAATTTTCAGGGATCCACGGCCATAGTTACAGGAATATGGAAGGATTCTTCCAACTATGCACCCGTTGTACTGAAATGTTCAACAAAAATTAAACAGTTCACTGCAAAAAGCATCCCAGCAGCGGGACTGATGACTATAGCTCATCAATCATTGGTCTTCTAAAACTCTTATCGAGGTGTGCTGAGGCCCATTTCTGTGGAAAATAGGGGGGTAAAAACACTATTTAAGCATCTGTTTACACAAGCAAAATATCCTTGTACAATAGAATAACCTAAACAAGGCAAGTGATATAGTTTCCGCTCAATCAACCAGCATGATTCTCAAGTGAAACTCGTAGCATCTCTTCAAACATAAACATAAAGACTTGCAATTTTAAGAATGACTACCATAAAATGTATCATCATGAATCCAAAGTTAAAAAATAGCAAGCAAATGCAAGATTAAGTTGTATCCCTCATAACATCAAAGCATTAAGCTAATAAAACTGGTCACAAAACACAGTTTCTCATTCGAATTGCAGTTGCAAACATTTATTGTAACGCCATCCCTGCAAATGATCCAGACTGCATAGATGGCTAATCATGCAAAAATCACGGCCTGCCAATGCATGGCTCACAAAAAATGACATTGACACTTGGGACTTTTGACCATTTGCATTGTAAGACATTTTAAATTACTAAAACAACTGAAGAACATAAAATAAAATATTAGGGACCTAATAGACATGGACTCTGACTCTAAGTCCTTGCAATTTCTAAAGCGGAAAAATTGCAAAAAGGAACGGGTGATGCAATACTTCCCGATGCCAGGCCACAATGTAAGCAAAACCTGCAACCTTCTATTAGAAAGAAGACAACGTAGATGCACTTTCCTGTTTTGATAAAAAAAACTACATAACTAAATCTACAAAAGTAAGAATATGCTTTGATTTTCTTACACTTTAAAAACTATGCAACATAATAGTTATACCACAAATTATCTTCACACCAGGCATCCATTCCAATACAATTCCTAAGTTCTTGTAGTATTTTTAATAGGGATATAGAAGACCTAGTTGTTAAGAACACAGCTAATACATCTTGGCAAAGAAGAAGCAGAGGAATTTAAAGTTTGAAAGTATTTATAGCGTTGACAAATAACAAACAATTCATGCCACAAACATGACCAAAGAGTCATTCAAGTAATAGCTCCATTTCCACAGATTTTATATAACGCAGCCCAAGATGCTACTCTTGAATTAACCACCAAACAACTTTGATTATATGCATCTTGATTACTAAGAAGTGATAAAACGTTTTTAACCTATATCATCAACAGAAAGAGGCCACATGCAATCATAGCCAACCAGAAAACACAAAGCTCTTAAAATGGATAAAACGTTTCGCAGCTGAAAAGATGGCAGCGTGAGTTTGAAAACACTTTGACACATGGGAAAAACATAAGAAGATTAAAGTATAATTCCTGGTTCACCCCCTCGAACAGAGGGGGGGGGGGGATTTAAACTTTTCAACTAAAGTAGTCGACTTTGTATCAACTAGCTCAAGTTTTTATTTTTTCTTCACCTTATCTTTATTTCTCTAAAATTTTTGTGGCAAGCAAATGTATGACTAGATAATGTTCGCAAATATCTAAAGCATCTCTATACGTAACAGGAATGACGAACATTCGATAACAAAATTCCTACGCGAAATGACCACAGACAGTAACTCACGAGACAATTCTAAATTGCTATAAGCTCTTTTTAATACCAAGGAAGGAGAAAATAAAAGAATTTACTAAAAATAAAGACAGAAGTATAACACTTATATAGAGTAAAAGTTGCTTACAAATACCAAATAAAAAATATTCGAGATATCAAACTCCGGGGTTGGCACTGCAGAGCATACCCTGAGTCAACGACCTGGAGTTCCTTGAATCTATACCAAGACAAGAGGTGAGGCGAGCTGAGGAGATTGCTGAGTGGAGGGGAAGCAAGGACTGCACGCAACCAAGATGAGGAACCGCCCTGCAATTCGAAGTCAGAAATTCTTTAAAACCACAGCAAGGAAGGCAACAAGGCGAAAAGGAATTTATGATGGGAAAGCACAGAAATAAGAAGATGTTCTTGCCTCGGCAATGTAGCAGACGAACGAGTGTGGTTGAGAAAAGCTGAGGACTTGGGCTTGCTTGATGGTTTCGAAATCGTAGATCGTATGAGAGAGAATGCTGGTTGCGACAGAGATCTACAACGAGAGGCCATTTGAACACCAGCACCAAAATCCCCGAGGATTAGAGCCTTTTCAGAGAGAGCCCGTGTGGAGAGAATCCAGAGAGGGAGCTAGGGTTTTACCAAGGTTTAGGCTTTTATTATTATTTTTCACTTTTAAGTAATAAGAATCGGATCATTTGAAGGTTTTCCACCTCATGAGATTATTATTTAGGAGGATGTTTAGATATTCTCAGAAAAATATTTTTTAAAAATATTTTTTATAAATCAAAACAAATTCTTTTATATATTTACTTTATATATTGTAAAATTATTTTTAAAATTATAATTTAATTTTCATCCACACGCACCTTTATTCCATTGTTCAAATAAATAAATCCTTCACACTTTTTTTTCTGCATATTTATATTTCTATATTAATAAATTTATGAGCAGCTTTTTTTTATTTTTAAAAATGATCTTTAAGATTGAGTGTTTTTATAAACTTTTTAAATATTATATCCATATTAAATAGCCCGATTGTAAAGTCACAAAAAATTATATGTAAGTTTCATAATTAATAGTGATGCGTTCCACAATTTTAATTAATTAATAATAATGTTTCTTTCCTTTCTTCCCCCCTTAATGGACTAATCTTCTCATTTTCTTTTGAGGCGAGCATCTGAAAATGGCAGTAAAGGAGGGACCAAAGAAGACATTGTTGCTGCGCGTCATTAATAAAATGTCCACCAACAGCGTGTGGAGTTAATAAGTTTGGCCACTGACACAACTACAAAAACAAAAGTGAATAGAGTTCAAAGAAATTGGCATAAAAAGAAATTGGCATACAAATAATCAAATCCTAGAGAGAGAGTTGGGTGAGCGTTTGTTCTGTGTTAGACAGTGAACCAGAAAGAAAAATTGAATCCTTGGGACAGCGAAGCGAACCACCTTAACCAGCAAATGGCTTGAAAGGTCTCAGAGCAGTATGAATTTGAAGGCTGAAGTGATTATTAACTCATAAGTTGTCAAAGCAGGGCCAACTTCCCAGTCACCGAATCCACATATGCTTTTGGACCTTTTCCAATTTCACAATCACATGTATCAGATCCAATACACCCCATATTCAGTTTCTCTCTGAAAACAAAACAAAAGCATCAAATTACAAGCTTACCAGGTCCAACTGCAAGAACGGTCTTCGATCCTGCCATAACCTGAAATAGCAAAAATCATCAGGAGAACAGACCTTAACCTGGAACTCGCAGAGAACAATCACAAAGTATCCAAACTCATCCAGGCAAAACTAAATTCTAGGATAACTCACTCTCCCATGTTACATGTGAAGTTTAGTTGACGTGAGTAACTCGTTGATTCATAGCAGCATGTATAAAACAATAATTTTTGTGCTATGCGCGTCAGATTTTGGTGTCTCATTATTTATCACGTACAAGACACATATGGTGGTTCTCTCATGCTACACAACAATCATCTGATCCTCAAAAATCTCAGATTTTAAGCACACTCCAAATGACGTGAGAGTAACTGAGTAAATAAACCAAGAAACAAAAATCAAGCATTTGCGAGTTAGCCCTTGTATCCCATCAAAGCCTCAATTCATTGCAACCGTTCTATGCTTTTGCACCAAAGGCTGCAAAGAGCAGAAACTTCATTCTTGAACTTCAACGCCTTCATTTCCTAAGAATACAAACTATATGAAATTTCACGAGGTGTTTCACTCCTTACTATCTGCAAACAAGGTAGTTTTTGTGGTAATAGAAATTCCAGTATCATGCCACAGTGCAAAGTGTTACCTGCGTTCGTCCAGCATCAGCAACAACAAAAGTAGGAAGGCCAATACTCTCAGCTGCTTCCTTCAGCTTATTCCTGTTTTGTAGGGAAAGTGAGGGGATAAATCCATGTACTAGACTGGAAACCGACAATACAGTATTGACAATAAAAAGACTGCTTACATTTCTTGTTGATTCCTGCAAGTCACAACAATTTTGGGTTGGCCACACTGCTCCCATTGTCTCAAAAGGGATCGATGGCTGCAAAAGAAGTCATTGGTGGAGCTTACCACATCAGCAAAAGTGAAAGAAGAGAATATAACAGCTTATATGAACCTTGAAATGAAATTCACTTCAAAAAATAAATTGTGATGTCTATGTTCTTGAGTATGATATAACAATCCTTGCTGAATGATCAACATCTCCGTGTTTGAGATAACAAGTTTGATAAATGAATGCACACACAAAGCCCCCACCTACCTGCCCAACTTATGACATTATAAATATCAACAAGAACTTTCCCCTTGCCTTCCTCCTTCCCCCTTGCTCCCCGAAGAATAACAAAAAGTGAACTATCACCAACTAAGACACCAAATTTTCAGAAAACATTAATAATCATACAGTGGCCACGCAGATCAGCAACTGTTACAGTTTCAATTTTCAAATTCAACAAGCAAAAGCATTTGGTTTCCAGAGTATTAAAGGCAAAAGTGTGTAAGGGTTGCAGGTCAGTGGATTGACCGGGTTGGCGAGTTCCATATGAAAACCGGGAAATCTCAAGGCTCAAAAATACACTTCAAAATACCTGTGCATTAGTTCAGCATACATTCCAGTGGCAGCATCTGTAAAAATAGTAAATGTAGACAAAAAGGATATGAACTGATAAGGCAAAGCCTGAGGGGATAATCAAGCTCATACGGCACATAATAACAAAGAGGATTGAATTTGAAATATCAGGATGAAGTGCAAATCCTCAAATTTAAGAATGGTTAGGCATCTTACGAGCACACTGGGATGCTATCTTTCCTGATTTCATCTTTAGGTCTTGTCTAACTACCAGAACCTGGCGCAGAGAGTTCAAACGTTGAAACCAGAAATATCTCAGCGATCCGGTAAAAGAAGTTTGCTTCAATAAGATTAAATTTAATGCATTCACGGTCAAATTAACCTCATCAAACATAATTTCAAAACAAAAATAGGGGTTCTATTACATTTGCAATTGAATGATCAATCAACTGCAACAAAAAATAAATGAAACACGATTACTAGGAAATGTTTCATATTTCATAGGCATTCCAGCTACAGCCATGGATTTTATGCTGTATCGTTTGCTTCAGTGCATGTAATTGATCCCTAAAAGTTCAATGAAAGCTGCCCCATGTAAAATGATTAAAGCATTTTGTACTGTATTAATGCGTCATAAAGTTGTGCTCATCTCACAACCTTGTCTTCTCAATGGCTTTGACGGCATAGACACAAGTTGAGTTATGTACATATGACCATCAAACTAAAATGCCTTATTTACACGAGGTAAAATTAATCTACCGAAGAAGCACGAAAGGAATGGAAAAAACGATGTAAAGACCCCACAACATGAGAAAGCGGTGACAGAACAAAGTAACAAACCATTTTAAGCTCTTGATCACCATTGCTTGGGACTGACAGTTGCCGTTGGATCTTGCCCGATGATAAGGTTTTGTTTGTTGAGTAATTTTTACCGGGCTTTGACAAATCAAACAACAACCCAATAATGAAGCCGATGACAAGACCTGGAATGAAGTTTTCTGGCTTGAAACTTACTCCTAACCACTCTCTTTCTTGCTTTTGTTGCTGGGTGCACAGACAGGCAAATGAAAATATTGAGAACGAAACAAAACACATAACAAAAGTCAACATCTTATCAAATCATAAAAGTAGAAACATGTTCAATTTTACAATGGGGTCAAGAAAGTGAGTCGATATACAAAATTTTCGGAAGTCCTCTTTTCAGAGAGTTCTCGGAAACGTCAGAACAGAGATAATCGGGAAGTGTAATGCATTAAACAGAGCTAAATAAAGTGAGTGTATATCAGTAGAAAATATATTAATTCATGCTGGGAGTCTCCGTTTCATAAAAAAGGAGAGCCTAATGGAAGAAAAAGGAGCAATTTCCAGCTTCTTAGAAACATTTATCAACGACTGCCACCAATTCGATTTCTTTCAATTACGTAGAAAAGGTAAGAAACTAGGAATCGTCGGCTCAGTAGATTGCTAAACCAAGTAAGCCCAAAGCCCTTTAATTCATCTACCAGCAACCATGGAGTTGGGCAAAAGCATGTTGAGGAAATAGTTTTAAGAAGAGAAGGGCGATGGAAATTACCTGGTCCCGCGGTTGGCTATTTTTTTGGAAGGAAGGGAACATCGAGTGGCTCTTTGGTGTACAAAAGCCAGGGGAGGGCCGTACAATGGAGAAAGATGAAATTTTTGGAGTGCCACACTTGGCTCCCCTTCTCTGCAGGAAAAGGATATTGAAGAGATAAATGAAGTGGAAGTTCGCTTTCGCCCTCAGAGAACCCCCATCCAGCGTGTCAAAAAATATTTAACCCACACAAAAAACCTCTTTTTATTAATTTGCATTTTGTAATTTCACCAGACCCTCCTTTAAATTAATTTCCAGTCCATTCACAGGATTCTCTCATTTTCACATTTTAATCCTGCTAAAGCAACAGAAAATATAATTACCTTTAAGGCCAATCTAGTCAACTGAAGGCAAAGGATCATTGGTGGGTACTAAAATGAGCATTGCGATTTGTGTTAAGTGTGAGAAGCGTTGCAAAATGCAAATAGGTGAGAAGCGCGCAAGTTACCGGTTTCGGTTACGGAATTGATTCCCTGCTTCTTCGTCTATCCTTCACGTGCCCCTCAATTCTCCGCCAGGAATCCATAACGCTTGTCTTTTTACATAACCATTAATCTCTCACCTTCTCTCCAGCCTTCATCGTCCATGGATTCTGTATCCCCCGATCCTCGCTTCTCCCCCTCCCAACCCTTCTCCGATCGAATACTCCGCGCTCTCCGCCACCCTCTCCTCCTCCTCCACCGTTCCCATGCCTCCTTCTTCATATTGGGCGCCACCGCCAATGTCTACACCGTCACTCTCTCCTCCCTCCCCTCCTGCACCTGTCCCGACCGCACCACCCCTTGCAAGCACATTCTTTTCGTCCTCATTCGGGTTCTCGGCCTCCCCCTCGATCACTTCTGCCTTCGCCGCCGAACTATCCGCCCCTCCCAACTCCGCCGCCTCCTCGACCTCCCTACCTCTCCGGACTCCCTTGCCGGGGCCGCACTTCGCGAGAGATTTCACCAGCTTTTCTTCAGTGGAAGACAGGAACCCCGTATAGAGGTGGAGGATGGGACCACTTGTCCGATTTGTCTGGAGGAAATGGGGAAGGATGACAAGGTCGTCGCCTGTGGAACGTGTCGGAATCCAATTCATGAGGAGTGTTTGGTGAAGTGGAAGAGAAGCAGGGGAAGGAGAACGGCTAGTTGTGTGATTTGCAGGGCAAGATGGAGGGGCATGAATGATCAAGATCAGTATCTAAATCTCTCTGCTTACATTAGTCAGAACAATATGGCCGAGACCAGTGGAGGTCCCTGCACTGGTTAATTCTGTATATTGCTTTGTTCATGCCTGTGTTAGATGGTGAAAATGCAGATTTGTAGGATAACTCATTCTTAAATTCATGATCAATGTAAACTGTAAGAAAGACGAGAAATTGTTTCTAGTTGATTTGCAATTAGTTATTTTGATCCACGGATTTTGGTTGCAAGCTTATTTTCGATTGATGCAGACTAGAATGCTTCGGTTGAAAGCACGATGTACGATGGTAAGCACACGACGTAACGAACCCGTGGGAGGAATATATTTTTAATCCGATGCCTTATCCGAATCATATTCCCGCCTTCATAATTCTAGCGAACTATCTTAAATCCCCACTCAACACCGCATATAACCTAATATGCTTGAGTAATCCGACTTCCGGCGACCAATTCCCGAATTTCCAATGTCGTATTTGACGATCAAGCCTCACGAGAAATAAAGTTTTCATCAACTATAATCTATCAATTTTTTTGAATAAGACCCGGGGATGAGACAATCCTCCCCCCATCTTTTTTTATTTTCATTTAATCTTTGGGTTAGAAGGATAAGGATGGAGGCCGACAAGTATAAATTACCAAAAGACAGATACGTGACGCTCTTCTCTTTGAACCCAGCATAGACGATCATTGTTATTTTGGTTTGGTACTACCCTAACTTGAATAAAGAGAAGCGATTTGCTTATCGTAATATGATAATGAAAGGATACAAATCACTGCTTAAGAAGCAATTGGCTTGCCTAATTCGCTAATCGAGAAAGTTAAACACGTATGTAGTCAACAATCAAACAATCAAATTTAAGGGGTAGATTTTTTATTTTTAAATTTTTATTTGGTGCGGAACTGAAGGAATATATATTATTATATAGGGATGGGGAAAAGGATAAAGTCTATTTTCTTATGAACTCGATCTTGTCTCTTTCCTCCACTATGCCTGCCATTACAACTTGACGGCTGTTGTAAGCTCAATATATAAAGAGCTTCTATGCATTCACAAACATAAGCCAGGCATTGCTACATAAATATTGAGTAGCAGGAGATAATGGAGGACGCTGCGAATTTTCCTAACTCCGGCAATTTATCTAGCAAAGTAGTCGCCGTCGCTGCCGGCGAAGCACATACTCTTGCTTCAACCGGTAAGACTTGTCAAATTTTTCGAAACAGTGTTTTGGGCTATCAATTATATGGCGGATCCTTATTGTCCTGTGAGATATGTTCCGGAGAATCAGAATCTCTTGCTGAAATAAAAATGGCGGCCCATGTTTATCTAGGGGTGCCCAACCAGCTTTTGTGATCATTGAGTTGGGCGCCACTGGAAAGTTTCTTGCTTTGCCATTATGATGGCTACGGGAGGGAATCGTATCTTTAATTCTGTAATTTTTAACACTTCTTTTAGAGACATCTTGCATTGACGAATGTTGGGGAACTTTTATGTTTCTGACTGTAGGGGATGGGTGTGTATATTCTTGGGGAAGAGGAATACTGGGGCGACTTGGCCGAGGCTCAGAAGAGGACGAGTTTTTTCCTGTTCAGGTCAAGTTTGAGAACCCCAGTTCATCAGGAGACACTATCAAAATTGTGGGAATTGCCGCTGGTGCCTATCATAGTCTTGCTCTTGCAGGTTGTAAGAATTTTAACCTTTGAATTTGTTCTTTATTCCTCCTCTCCTGTGGCTTATTATTTTGTTGGTGTTGAACTCGATGTGGTGGGAAAACGAGAAAAATGCGAGGTTGGAAAAGAAGATAAGTGGAGAGGGGAAGATTTTGGTTATTATTTCTAGGAGTTTATAGGTGGATGAAAGATGGAAGAGGTTCCCACGTTTAGAGCCAAACCTGTTTCAAATATGATTATCCCAGATGGGAAGAAGTCCGTAAGCAAATTTTTTTTTTTTTTGGGGAAAAAAAAGATGTATTTCAGTTTCAAATGTCCTTCATCTTTCCCGGAAACAAACAAGTGTGATGTGGTTTACTAACCGAATTTTCAGTTGGTTTATTTTCCATCGCCCGTATTTCATCTGCCCCATCAGCCCCTTCCCAAGTTTTGGTCGATTTTCTAAGTTCGTCATCTTTTGCTGCATGATACTAAGTAAAATCCTCGGAATATAGGATCCTCTGAATATACATGCACGCTCACTTTTAAGCATGACAGTTCACCATGTTGGATTGTTGGCCAAAATTTCTCGACATTCGGCCTTTCGGTGCAATGTATGTTTAATTGTTACCTGCTTGCAAGAGATTCTTTATTGGTCCCCTTTAGGGTAAATATTTTGTAAATTTATTTTGTATATGTCACGCTTCTATATGTCAGAATAGAGATGGGGAAAAAAGAGATATGAAACACATGCAATATCTAGTAGACTGCAGTCTGATAATAACACTGAGTATGTCTCTAAGGCAAACTTAAGGCTGCTTCATGAAACTGAAATTTGAAGGACATTCCTCCAGTTTAATTTCTGCTGCTGTGTGTGTTGACAGATGATGGATCAGTCTGGTGCTGGGGTTACAATATCTGTATCCTTGACATAATTGTATTGCCTCGGGAAAGTCGGATACAAAAAATTACTAGTTTCTACTTCTATTGTTCTGTATATTTGTTGGTTTGTGTTATTCAACTATGTCCTTGACTACTGTATGGATGGTCAACTCGGTCTCAACGAAGAGGACTCCTATGGCTCTAGCGGAGATAAGTCTCTAATTCCCTGCCTATTAAACAAGTTCCTTGAGTTGCACCCTCCTGATTCTTCAACAGATCCACCAGAAGAAGAGAGTAAGGCATCACTAAAGGTATTTCGTAACTGCATACATTCTGTTCGCTGATATACAAACAGCCAAATGTGAGATAGCCATTAAGTTGCTTTTGTGCGTCCTATTTTTTCAGATATGTTCTGTCAAAGCAGGGGGAATGATGTCTCTGGCTATTGATAACCTAGGGGCCCTATGGATGTGGGGAAATTGCCCACAGAAAAGCAACGAAGGAGGGTTCTCTCTTGTGAGCAGTTTCGTTCCCACACCAGTATGGGATTTTCACGGCCATACTGTTGTCAAGGTTGCATGTGGAAATGAGCATGTTGTGGCACTAGTTACTGCAGGAGAATCATACGTAGGTGAAGACCTCGTGTGCTACTCTTGGGGTAATAACAGCCATGGTCAATTAGGCTTGGGGGATAGGGAGAGCAGGCCACATCCAGAAGTTGTAAAAGCATTTGACCAGGAGTCCCCCTGGGCAATTTATGAGGTAGCTTGTGGTGCCTTTCACACTGCTTTACTCACTCACAAAAAAAGCCCCAGTGACACATCAGCAAGCATGTGCTGGACGTTTGGCCTTGGGGATAATGGGCAACTTGGGCATGGAACCACGCAAAGCGAACTGCTTCCTATGCCTGTCAAAGAATTGCCACAGCATGTTCATCTAATTTCTGTTGACTGTGGCTTGTTTCATACTAGTGTTATTTCATCAGCTGGGGATGTGTGGTCATGGGGCATGGAGAAGGGTCTTGGTCTGTGCCCTGATGCTAGTTTTGCTGGAACTGATTCTGGGGATGCACTCTCTCCCCTTCTCATCTCATGTACACCACATCAGCCTCGGTTTCCAGAACCAATACAAGTTGCTTGTGGGGCGGCGCATACTGTTGTTGTTGCACAGGAGGGATATAAGATTTGGTCTTGGGGTAGGGGAAGGAGTGGGGTTCTCGGAAATGGTAAGGCAGTGGATTTTTACACTCCCACACTAGTGTTATGGCCTCCGCTGATAGAGGATTTCAAGCAAGAGGACCAGAAGAGTACTGGAGACCAAGATAAGATGACAGAAAAAGAGGCTGAAGCGGTCACAGAAATGGATGAAAAATTAGCCTCAGCATTGAATGAACTGAAGCTGCTTCAGACAAGGCTTTCTGTGATGGAGAGATATGCCAGTATACTTCATGGTTCAATATTTGGAAAACCTTTTGATGAGCGTGATATCCCAGCGTCATTGAAGAACTCAGGTGTATTCGACATTGCAAAGGAATGGGAGAGCATGTTAGAGGAAGCAGATCGCAGTAAGCTAATTAGGTTGGAAATGTTCTACAAAAACATGCTTGCTGGCGTGAAAGATAAACTAATGAAAAGAAGGATCAAGGAGATTATAAAGGAATGCCTTCAGTCTTCAGAATTTCCAAAACTGAACCCCGAGTAACTAAGCTGCATCATATTCTGCACAGGAGATTGCACTTTACAACGTAATAAACATCATGCACCCATACGTTTTCTCATGCCCTTTCAGTATATACTCTTAGCAGAACAGACCTTAAGCTTCCATACCTTCCGATTTTCAGGCAATTCTAATCCGGTACGTTCCATAGTTGGGTATCTTGGATCAAGGCCTTAAGCTTCATTCAAGGTTAAATTTCACTTGTAGTTCGAGACATGATCCTGGGTGGAGATTATTTTATTATTGTTTTTATAAAGAAGAATCCCCGTATATCTGGCCCTGCTTGTAAAACTCATTTAATTTGATTTTTTAAAATATGCAAAATATTGTCAAATCTCCTAGTTCGGACATTGTGGCCACCACGTGCTTTTTCGCGCCCAAGAACCTTTTCGCCGGTATCGCTTAAGTTTGCATTGTGGCGCCGCCCATGTTTGCATTATCATCATCAATACGCGCACATCCTGATGTTCAAACATGCTAGAAGTTATTGCGTTGCACTGGATACTTCTTTTTATGCTTTATCCTTCTCATACGCACTAGATGCTGGCTTTGTTCCTCTTAAATTATCAATTCAAAGTTATTAACTACTCCCTCACTCGATATAAAGCTAGTTGGGAGTAAATTTTATTCTTAATACAAAATCTGAGTCAACTTTGTCTTTCATATTTTTCAAAATATACACATTAATTGTAAGAAATTTTTTCACCAAGAAGGATAATTTCTAAATGTGACAAATAATTAACTTAAGTTATTTAATATTCTCAAATTAATTATCTAACTTTTATATTAAGAACTGAAAATAATATTAAATTGTGATCTAACAATGTCAAAAAAAAGCCGTAATTAAAGACTTCTTTTTAAAAAAAAAAAAAAAATTTGTAACTCATTCTCTCAATAAAATCAGGTCAGATCACAATCTATTGACTACTATTTCTCAATTGAGGTTTCATTAGGGAAGCCTCAGTTGAAGGGATATAGATCCCTGTATACTTCTCCATGTATATTTTAAAAACTTACGCAAGAAAAGTTAAAATGTAAGGGCACAATGTACATTATGCTAATACTGATGGCATGAGAAGGTTAATTTCAGTGTTTGTCATCGTTTTGCTGCTTCTAATATACACTGATGCATCATATATACATATTCTCAACCAGGAAAAAAAAAAATACAAACATTAGAATGTGTTCAACTTGTTAGGTGTAACATAAGCATTCGCATACACAGATTGATCCCAACTTACATGATGATAAATAATGACATCAACTTCAATAAACATATGCTATACATTGCTTTTGTTTCTTACTAGTAAAAATGTGACAAGCCACTCCAAGGGAATTCAACAAAAGAATTTTTCATATATAAAGAACTCGCAGAAGAGAAGTTGAAAAGGGCTACCCGAGAAAGAAAGCACCAGAGTCCAGAAATACTAAGATGATCCTACCTTCAAATGATTAACGAATCAGAAAGAATATTCAACTATCTTCGCAAATAAAGCCTCTGCCCAAGGAACACTGAAGGCCACCACACATGCTGCCCTTCTCCAGACCCATTGGATATGGAAGTAGAACCACCACCAATTTGAACAAAATACACTATACAAGACAGCTGCACCCTGTGGTAAACTTAGCTCGCCAATGCAGATAATGTTACCTGCTGAGCAATATTGCTCCAAATACAAGCAGAACCAGAAATATAAGCATAATGCCATTTCCAGCGATGATATCTTGGTTTCCATTCTGCGTACAGGTTCCCAAGATTCTTACAGTTTCTTAGGTAGATTATATGCCTTTTTAAGAAACTTAGAAGCTGATTCATCGTTCCTATAGCACAAAACACGTAGTAGTGTGTTAGGTTCAGATGGATTCCACTGTCCGGAAGTTGGAGGTAAAGGAAGTCTAGATCTAGCAGAGGAGCCAAACGTCTCCAGGGTTGCCCTTCTAAACCGCTCAATGAGGCTATCTGTATCAGTTCGGAAGAGGGGGAGGACAGACCTTGCTGTAGTTGAAAACTTATCTATTAATTCAGAAGGCAAGCCATCCCCATTTGCCCAGAAGAGATCCTTAAGGGATTTGAAATCATCCTCTATGATCTGAGAGTCCTGCCGGGAAAATGCACGTGAGGGTCCTCCAGCAAGCAAGACCAGCAAGAATCCCTCAAAGGAAGCTCTCATTATATCAGTAAGAATCCGTGTGCGAATTCTTTCATGGATTGTATCAGAAATGATCATCAAGTTTCGCTCAAGTTCTTGCAGAAATGGTTCAATCCTGGAAGATGATGTATCTCCAACGTATAAACCATCCCATAAAACATGGCTTAGATCATGGAATATGATTCTGTATGCCACTGCCTCACAAAGTTGTTGAATTCCTTCAACACATGCAGCTGGAGATAATTCAAACTTCTTTGCCAATCCATTTGAAAAATCTTCCACATCAGCAGACTCAGAGTTTCGTAGAAGGGTAATAATTCTTTTCTCCAGAACATCAAATTCACCCCGGATCCATTGCAAAGTGTTTATGCGAGCACAAAGTTGTGGTACCCCAAAAGAGGCATCCCCATTGGTTGCAACCTGAGAGTTTCTCTTCTGAACATTAGGAGATTTTTCTTTCTTCTTCCCAAAGCCTTGAAATTTTGATCCAATAGAACATCTGGTCAATGCTGGCATTGTTGGAAGATACGTATTTCGTGATCCTGAATATATCAAGAAAAATTAACCCAGTTATTTTTTTGGGGTCAAAAAAGAAACCCAATTGTTATGTATACTAAATATCAAAGCTCAACTATCAAATTCAACATGATTTACCACAGCCAGATTTTGCTTTGGTAACATAGTATTGCAGGCATCTGTCAAGGCCATTCATCAGTTCAGGAAGCAATGCAGGATGCATTGGTATTGGAAGCTGAAAGTATGCATCCAAAGTTTCATTTATGATTCGCAATACTTCGACAGCAGAAGGGGCATAACCATCCTGACTTGTCTGTGGACTCCAGACCTAATCATCACAATAAACTATATTACTTTGAAGATATTAGGTAAACAATTGAAGTATACATAAACTCACATAATATACTAAATAAAGGCGATTATGGTTTAGAATCTTGCAGTTCGTGCAGGATTTCAAGTTAGCAACCAACTCTAGAATTCATGCAACGTAAATCCAAGCGCCTGAACTGAAATCTTATTGCTGGTTTACTCCCGTTACATTACCACAGAGAAGACAGTAAAACAAAAATATTTAACAATAACATCATGATGTCTTTATTTATATTCTATAAAGACCTTGCCCTGGTAATAAGTGGTGATGAAAATTCATCAAAAGGAAGCAAAATACAAAAGGATGATGAATGCAAACCTCTTGTTGCACATTCCTATCAACCCACTCTTTAAGTCTGTCTAGTCTAGTCTTAATCCATGTTTTCACCATATTGGCAATAGCAGCTTCAGCCTCAAAAGGAGGCATCTCACGGATTATTGCTTTGCCACCATCATCACTCTCTACTGAATCTTCTACAGCTATTTGTACAAGGTCTTTCTCCAACTTATCTGCCGCTCTCAAAACTTGTACTGCATCAGGTGTCAGTTCTGTTATGCCCGAGATGAACTGTTTCAATTCATTTCCATAGCATGCGTGAAGAGTGGCCACAGCAACACCCGCTGACAAAGGATGCCACCTCTTAAGTATTGGACTGAACACTCGCTTCTCATTAACTGCCAGGCTACCGACATCCTTGGCAAGAATCGCAAGGAGAGGAAGAGCATTTGGCTGATTTTTGGATGCTCTCCTGCTTGAGTCTGCCTTCTCCATTATCTATCAAGCATAAAAAACATATTTCAGCAAATATGTGTCTGGTAAATTGTAGAAAGAGAGTGACAGAATAGTGATTCAAGACAACTATTGCCATGACTGTACAGAGAATCACAATATTTTAGCTATTAAATCTCTTGAGATTTATCTTGAAAAATCTATTGTCCTAACTGAAACTTGATCCACGTTTAGGTTAAATTAAACAAAGGAAAGGTAAAGATTTATCTTAAGACATAATATTCAATCTCTCACATGAAGCGTACAAGGCTACACTGCCATGTCCACAGCAGCTGGACCAGGAAAAGATTTATCTCAATTCTACCACCTTCTACTAGAGGAAGCAGCCAATACTGTAGATAAGGATAACTTACCTGAGCAAAAGCAGTACGTAGTGATGACCTGATGTAGGTATCAATTCTTTCACGGGCAACATTGACTTCATTTCTTCTCCTTCGTCGATACTCATTAGATATATCCTCAACCAAAATCTTCGCAGCTGCCACCCCTAAAGAAACAATGCCCTGCATTGTTTCAACATTTCCAAGATCAAAAGTTTCATGATACGCAAGGAGCCTTTTCTCTGCCCACCCCAATATAGAACTTAATGTAGAACTCAAAATTTTGGAATACTCTGTATCCTTTGTTGTCTTTGCATCATTTGAAACTTCTACTAGCATACCGTCAGCAGCAGACAGTAGATCCAGGTCCATCTGTCCAGTTGCAACAAATTGGTGGAATAAAACCCACGTAAAGCAGAGATTATGAAGAGTTTGGTTCAATCCAAGAATCCCCCAGGTCTTCTTGATTTGTTCCATCAGCTCATCAAATTCGTCAATAAGTGAGGATTCATCGTTAGCATCAAAGCAGGACTGCAGGAGCATTTCATAAAGCCGAAGGTTGAAAGGGATTCCATCTGCCCAGTGGCAGGAATCAGTGGAAGACCCATCATAGGATCTACATGCAAGAGACATGACAGCACTGCGGAGAATCTGCATGGATTCATTATTCTTCCCAGTCTCTATAGGCCTGTCTAAAGCCCCATGAATAATCTGTCGCAATCTATGTGCAGAAGAATTTGACTTATCTAGAGGCATATGAGGATGCAAAAGTAGACCAGCCTCTAGAACCTTCAGCGTTCTCTTCAGCCATTCCTCATGCTCTTGTGGATCAGGAAAATCTGAGAGCTTAAGCTGCTGCAGTAATTCTAGTGGAACTACAACAGATTCAATCCTTCTTCCAACCTGTAATACATCAACAAATAGCTTAGCCGTGATTATTTTAACTTAGTTGATTTCTTTCTGGCTTTATGTTTTCAATGTAAATACCCGTCCTCTCAGAAAAAAATGCATGCAAGCAATTAAAAGCATAAGCAATAGTGTGTATCTATCTACATGAAACAATTTACGGGCTTAAATGAGAACCTCATTGTATTTACATTTCGCCATGTTCTTGGACAGGATAATTTGAGAATTTTTCCTGATAATCATTATTTGATATATGATGACAACTCAAATATTGTCCACATGG